CCGCTACCGCCACGTATTTGTTCGCGCCTTTTGCGTATGCCCTAGTCGGATGCACGTCCCTTGATCGAGTTGTCAGACGATGAGGCGCCAGAGCAGTCCCCGGGATCCTCGGGATCCTCGGGCGAGGTTTTTGCCGAGCCCAGGTCCTCCGGGTCCGCTGTTGGCCCTTCGGTGCCTCTACTCGTGGTTTGTTCCCCCTCCCTCGCTAGACCATCGTTTATACATATGGCTTATGGGTTAACCCCTGTTCGTTTCATTTTGCAGCGAGGTCTCCCATCATGTCTTCGTTCCGTGAGCGCCTCGAGCGCCTCGTGGCGCGTGGTCCTGTTGCGAAGAGACAGAAGGTTACTGCGCAGTCTGGCGCGCCCCCTTCTGAGCACGGTGCGCCCCCGCCGGGAAGGGCGCAACCGCAGGCGAGTCGCCCCCCCCCCGTACCGCCGGCCGTTCCGCCCCCGCCGCCGCCTGCCGAGCACACGACGCGGAGCTTGCCCGCTATCATTCGAGAGGCCCTCCGGACCTTCGAGGTATGTACTCTTGCTTGTGATTTCCTTTATTACACTTACTCTTTGTTGTTGTATTGTTATGATTGTGCCTCTTCTCAGGGTTGGGTCGTGTCCACCATGGCCCTTGTCGAGGATGAGCAGGGTTGCGCTCGCGAGCTGGTGCGAGCCTTGGAGGCCGAGACCAAGCGAGCCGATTAAGCGGTCAGACGTGATGCTGAGTCCTGGAAGGCCTTGGAGGCGGAGAAGAAGAGGCATGCAGAGGAGCTTGGACAGGTCATCCCCGCCTACAAGAAGTCTGATGAGTTCGAGCGGGATGCCGAGGAGTAGGTCCGTGGGCGCAGCGGCGACATAGTCACCTCATGGCTAGCTAGTGACGCTGGGAAGGAGACGATTGCGGAGGAGAGTGTTATGGCCTTCCAGGTGGGCCAGTATGCTATGCAGCAGGAGATCGACACTGTCCTTCATCAGAAGGGAGACGCCTTCGACCCGGTCGTCCTCGAGCTGCCGGCCGAGATGGAGAACCCCGAGCCAGTGACCCCTGCGGCGGGCTTCTCACTATCACCCCTTGATCGCGCCGACGAGCCTGTGGAGCTAGTGACCTCCTCGGGAATTATCTCACCCACTTTGCTGAGTGTTCACGTCCCTGATTTGGATGGGGGGGCCGAGGGAGTGACCGTCGCCGTTGCGCCGTCGACTAAGCTGCCACTTGCCACCGCGCCGGGTTCGGATGAGCAGCCTTGATCATGCTCGTTTTAGCTTATTCCCTATTTTGTGTATCCGGGCATAGACTTTGGCTGTTTATTCCCTTTGATGACTCTTCCTGCTTTATCTTGCCATGCTTCGAACGTTGGATCTTTATTATATGCTTGGGACTTATGTTTGACTGTGCACTCCTATTTTTTTTTTTTGTGCGCCCGGTCAGTGCTGGGGCTCTCAACCTCGGATTGTGCTGAGGCACTAGGCCTCGGTGCTGGCCGAGGTGTCGGACCTTAGTGACTGCCGAGGTGCACGCAGCACGGTGCACCCGGCAGTGTGCCGAGGTGCATGGCACGAGGGGGCCACGGCCATGGGCCGATGTCCGACTGGGCGTACCTCGGCCTGGGGCGGTGCCCTGTTGCGCCCCGATGTTGCCGGGGTGTGATAGGCTTATGTTTTTTTTTTTTTTTTTTTTTTTTTTTTTGCCTAGTGTTAGCCTCAAAACATATTATTGCCGATGTTGTCGGGGTGTGATATTATTGCCGCTCACTAAAACATTATTGGGGGTGGGGGGGAGGTCTTCCTCCTAAAATAGCATTTCAAAGTCCACCTTTCACGCAGCGGGTCTACTGGTAGAACTTCAGCAGGTGTTCTGAGTTCCAGACCCTGGCTATCATCTTCCCTTTAGGGGTCTTGAGCTTGTAACTACCAGGGCGGACCACGGCTGCTACAATGTATGGGCCTTCCCAGTTGGCAGCAAATTTGCCTCCCGCCTGGGGCTGGCTTGCCTCCCTCCTCCTGAGCACGAAGTCTCCCGCTTGGAAGTAGCGGGGTCGCACCCGCTTGTCGTGGTAAGCTTTGGTTTGCCTTTGGTAATTCTCCGCTTGGATCGCAGCTGCTTCGCGCCTGTCATCGATCAGGTGGAGGTCAGTTCTATGGTGCTCCTCATTCGTGTCGGGGTCGTAGTCCTCTTCCCGGCGGGAAGGTATTACTACCTCTGCTGGGGCTCGAGCTTCGAACCCGTAGGCCAAGGAGAAAGGTGTCAACCCCGTGGCCCTCCGGGGGGTGGTGCGGTATGCCCATAGAATGGCGTCGAGCTCCTCTACCCACGCCCCCCCCCCTGCGGATTCCAATTCCTTTTTCAAACTGCCCACTATGGTGCGGTTGGCATTCTACACCTGCCCATTTGCTTGGGGATAGCACACAGCCACCCGGCTGTGAGTAATGTGCCATTCTGCACAGAACCCCTTGAACTCTTGCCCCTCGAATTGGCGTCCGTTGTCGGTGATGAGTTGCATTGGGACCCCAAAACGGCACAAAATGTTTTTGTATACAAAGTGCTTGCAACGGGCGCTTGTTATGGTCGCCAGTGGTTCCGCCTCCACCCACTTGGTAAAGTAGTCCACTGACACTATGAGGTACTTCCTTTTTCCCGACCCCATAGGCAGAGCTCCCACTAAGTCCACTCCCCACCTGGAGAAGGGGATGACCGAGCTGATGGGGGTGTAGCTCGTGGCAGGTCGGCCGGGGGTGACCTGGAAATGCTGGCAGGTCTCGCAACCCCTAGCGTAGTCAGCGCACTCCTTGGCCATTTTGGGCCAAAAGTACCCCTGTATGATGGCCCTTCGGGACATGGCGAAGGCCCCTTGGTGGGCGGAGCAGGTCCCCTCATGGATTTCTTCCATGACCGCCCTGGCTTCGTCCGGGTATAGGCAGCGCAACAAGGTGCCGTTATAGGACCTCTTGTAAAGTGTGTCCCCCATGATTACGTACGTGGGGGCTCGTCGTTTCACCAGTTTGGCATCGGCCTCGTCGGGAGGCAGTGTACCTATTCTCTTGTATTCCTTGAGGTGGTCCAACCAGCAGGGAGGCCTGGTTTGCACGGGTATGACCGGGTAGGCGTCCAGGCTCAACCTCTTGAAATCCTCAATTCGGGCTATTTTTGAGATATGTTCCGGGGCCCCTTGGGCGAGCTTGGATAAGATGTCAGCGTCTGTGTTCTGGTCCCGAGGCACCTGTAGGACCTCGTAATTGATCAGCTGCCCCAGTAGTTGGAGCACCACGTCCCGGTACATCCACATTCTTTCATCACTTGCCTCAAATTCACCTGTGACCAGTCCCACGACGAGTCTGGAGTCACACCGGATTTTGAGCTTTTCCACCCTCATGTTTAGCGCGAGGCGGAGCCCCCCTAGGAGCGCCTCATACTCGGCTTCGTTGTTGGATAATTTGAACGCGAAGCGGAGGGCGTAGTAGGCCCGGAACCCCTCCGGGGTTATGAGTACGACTCCACCCCCGCAGCTTTTGGCGCTGGAGGACCCGTCCGTTGAGAGGGTCCACCACTCCTCGTCGTCATCCCGGACCCGCTCTGTGGCCTCCCAGGCGGTACACTCGACTATGAAGTCAGCCAGTGCCTGCCCCTTGATGGCGGGTCTGGCCTTGAATTGGATGTCGAACTGGCTCAGCCGCATGGCCCACCTGACCAACCTGCTGGCCGACCCCGAGGCCCTCAGCACCGCGTCTAGTGGTTGATTTGTGAGGACCTGTACGGGGTGGGCCTGGAAGTAGTGGTTCACCTTTTTTAACGTCACATCTACCGCAAAGATGGCCTTCTCCACGGCTGTGTACCTGATCTCCGCCCCTCGTAGAGCTCGGCTCGTGTAGTATACGGGCCGCTGGACCCCCTCGTCGTCCCGGACCTGCACGGAGCTGACCGCGGCCTGCGAGATGCCCAGGTATAGGTACAGGACCTCCCCCTTAACGGGTTTGGCCAGGGGGGGAGTGACATAAGGTACGTCTTGAGGTCCTCGAACGCCTTCTGGCACTCTTCGGACCACTCGAAGCCCTTTGTCTTTTTGATGACTCCAAAGAACGACAACGATTTCTCGGCCGACCTCGAAAGGAAATGGCCCAGGGCTGCCAACCGGCCGTTGAGGCGCTGGACCTCCCGGAGGGACCTCGGAGGTTCCATGTCCAGGATGGCCTTGACCTTGTCGGGGTTGGGCTCAATGTCCCTCTTCGAGACCATGTACCCCAAAAATTTCCCCCGTGTACCCCGAAGGTACACTTCTTGGGGTTCAACCGTAAATTGAAGCGTTGCATAATCGAAAATACCTCGGTAAGGTCGTCCGTGTGGAGGTCGGCGTCGGTACTCTTGATGATCATGTCATCGACGTAGGCCTGGAGGTTGCGGCTGAGGACCTGTTTGAACACCTTGGCCACCATCCGGGTGTAGGTGGCGCCAGAATTTTTCAGTCCGAATGCCATGACCTTTTAGCAATAGACCCCCTCTGGCGTGGTGAAGGCCGTCTTCTCCTCGTCGGCCTCCTCCATGAAAATTTGGTGGTACCCCCTGAACGAATCTAGGAAGCTCATAAGGGCACAGCCTGCAGTCTCGTCCACTAGCTGGTCAATGTTTGGGAGGGGGAAGGGGTCCATAGGGCAGGCCTTGTTAAGGTCGGTGTAGTCCACGCACATCCTCCAGGTAGGTGGCTTTGGGGCGAGGACTACGTTGGCTAACCACGTGGGGTATATGACCTCCCGGACATGGCCAATCTCTAGCAGGGTGTCGACCTCCTTTTTGACGAACTCCCTCCTCTCAGCGGAGAGGTACCTTTTGCGCTGCTGGACTGGCTTGACCGCGGGGTCGACAGCCAGCTTGTGCGTGATCACGTCTTGGCTCAGGCCCGGCATATCCTCGGGGCCCCATGCGAAGACCTCCTTGTAGCTCCTGATGGTGTCGATTATCCGTGCCCGGAGGTCGGCCGGGAGGCCGACCCCTACCTTCACGACCCGGTCAGGTCAGCTGAGGTCGAGGATGACCTCCTCTATCTCGACCACGGGCTCGGCCCGAAGTCGACCTGCCTCCTCCCGAAACGCCTTCTCAGCAATGGTATGGACCTGGAGGTCCTTCTGACCAATTTGGCGGCACGCCTTCAGGTAGCAGCTGCGGCTCACCTTTTGGTCTCCCCGGGCGACCCCAACCCCGGTTAGTGTCGGGAACTTGAGGCATAGGTGCTCCATAGAAATCACACACCTGAGGTCCTCCAGGGCGGGCCGACCGAGAATAATGTTGTGGGCGCAACTGATCTTAACGACTACGAACTCGACCTCCCACCTCCTGGTGTGCGGTGGGGTGCCTATCTCTACCTCCAAATTGATCGACCCCTCCGTTTCAATTGAATCCCCATGAACCCGGACAGGGGGGTCCGTACTTGTTCCAGCTATCCTCTTAAGAGTCCAGCTGGGTGAACGTGTCGTAGTACATGACGTTCACCGAGCTACCCGTGTCTACGAGCACCTGGTGCACCACCACGTTGTTGATGTCCAGCTTGACCACCAGGGCGTCTCGGTGGGGGAGGGGCCCATCTGGCAGGTCGGCTTCGGTGAACGTGATGGGCTCCCTCTTTGGTTTTTTCTCGTGGGGGGTACGTGTGACCTCCCCCACATACAAGCTCCTCGCCCACCTCTTCCGCTCGGCTGGCGAGTCCCCTCCCTCGGTCCCCCAAAGATGACATAAATGGTCCCTTTCTTCGGGGGCTGGGAGTCCTCCGTCGTCTTCTCCTCCTCCTCAGAGCTGTGGTCGTGGTGGTCCCTCTTACGGGGAGCCGAGGTGGATGGCGCTTGGCCACCCCCTTCCTCCATACGTTGCCTGGCTTCTGGCCCGGCGCCTGCCCTTGCGCCTGGCCGGGCCTCTTAATGAATTGGCCGAGGTAACCCATTTGGATGAGTTCCTCGATTTGTCTCTTTAAGAGGATGCATTCGTCCGTATTGTGCCCTTTCTGCCGGTGGAACTTGCAGTACTTGTTGGGGTCCCCCCTTGCCGATATCTTCATGCACTCCTCCTTCGGGAACACCACGATTCCCTGGTCCTCCGCGTGCGCCAAGATGGTACCTACTGGTTGTGTCAGCGGGGAGAGATAGTGTGTGGGGTTCAGCCTGGGCTCCTCAGCGTACTCACGTCGGTGCGGCCGCAGCGCCTTGCGCTCCTCCTGGGGTGCCTTGTCTTTCCGACCTCGTCCATCCTCCTGCTCCTTCTTCCTCTTCTCGGCAGCCTCGACGTTAGCGTACCTTGCTGCCTTGTCCATCAGGTCGTTATAGGTCCTGGGGGGGTACCTGATGAGGTCCTGGTGAAAGGCGCTTGACCTCAAGTTGTTTCGGAAAATCACTATGGCCGACTTCCCATCAAAGTCGGCGACCCCCATGGCCTCTTTCTTCCACTTGCTGAGGTACTCGGCGAGTGATTCCGAGTTCCCCTGTTTCAAATCACACAGGTCGGCAATTTGCTTTTTCCGTTGTAGGCTGGTGGCGAAATGGGATAGGAACTGCCGGGTGAGGTCCGCGAAGGTGGAGATGGACCCCGCCGGGAGGGATCCGAACCAATCATGCGCCTGCCCGTCCATGGTGGCGAAGAACCCCCTACACAGGATGGCGTCTGTTGCCTCGGTGATCATCATGGCGGCTCTGTACCTGGTCAGGTGTGCCCGCGGGTCCGTGGTCCTTGAGTATGCTTTAATGGTGGGAAAGCGAAAATCTCGAGGTAGGGGCTCCTCCATGATGGTGTCTGCGAATGGGGAGCCCAATACGTCCTGGGCTCCGGAGACCCGTCCCTCTCATCGATCTTATTCTGGAGCTCGTCCATCCTCCTCTGCAGCCGCTCGACCTCTGCCCGATGGGAGCTCGGAGCTCTACCCTTCGTTTCACCTGATCGTTCGACCCGGGAGGCCTGCTCACGTTGAGGGTGGGGTCGGGGAACCCGATCTGCTGACCCGCGCGAGGCTGCCTCGTGTCGTGGCGGGCGCGGGCGCGGGGCCCACGGCTCAGCGACCTCCGAGTGACCGATCCCTGTCGCAGCGGCCGGCGGGAGCATGACTCCGCTGCCGGTGGCCCGTTGGCTAGCCTCGGACCCAGCCTATCCCGGGCTGTCACGCGATCGCACAACCTCTCCAGGGCGGGCCTGGTTTGGGTCGGTGCCCTTCCATCGTCGTCACGCTGGCAGTCCTGGCGGGAGCCCCCTCCTCCCCGCCTCTCCGAGGGCCGAGGCGAGTTGACCTCCCCCTGGATGATGAGTGCCTGGGGTAGCCGGGTGCTTGGACCGCTGCGCCCCCGGGTGGGAGGAGGCGGAGGCGACGCCGGCGCCCCTCCGGTGACGCCCAGGGTGGCCTGTTCCTCTGCCCGTAGGCCCGCCGCGATGCGCGCCAGCGCCGTGGAGGCTTGTTCAAAGACCGCCACCCCCTCTTGGATGAGTGCGCGAGCCGGAGCGGGGGCGACAGGGGGGGTGGCGGTGCACCGCTGCTACGGTGGTTAGTGAGTTGGGCCCTCAGATCTCCCCCCGACCTGGTGGTGGCGGCCGGTTGGATGCTGGGGGCGGGGGTCCCGTTGGGACCGTTCCCGTTTGCGACGAGCTGGGTGCCGCGGGAACCATTGGTATGACGAGAGCTGGATCTCGATCGTGCCATCGCTGCGGATGAACAATAGTGGGGAGAGCGATTTAGCTTGTACAGCAGCTCTCAACAAGAGCACCAATGATGGAATTAATTCAACCGGGGATCCGAATAATAGCAAAGGCCGTGAGACCATAGATTGTATTAAATGCCGTAGAATTTGCTATTACAATAGTATTTCAGGACAAATTATGTAAGAACAGTAGATCGTGTCTTAACTAGACAAGGTGGGGGGCTTTTATACAACCCCCACCCCTAACCGCCACCCTCTGAGGCGGGGGGTGGTTAGATCCGGATTGACCGCGCCCGGTCTCGCGATCGGGCCGCACTGTGGGGCCAGGCCGAGCCCGTGTGGAGGTTGGCCCGGCCTCCAACGTGGCCAGTGCGGGGGCCACGTGGCGAGGCCTCGGCCGGGGCGGGTACGTGGCGCCGCCCCGGGACCCATTCTTGCCTTCGTCCTTGGGTTAGTTCGGGTCGCTACGTAATATATCCGTCAGTTAGTAATGCAAGCTAACCTAGGAGACATCCTTCATTCTTTCCCTTACACTTTCTAAACATTGAGCTCCTCCTTCTCTCTAAAAGTTAGATAGCTTTTCTTCCCAGCCAAGTTGAAGCTCTACAAAATCTTCAAAGTTTGTCTCCAAGATTCCACCTTTCCTGCCTTTGAGCATCTAGGAGGGTAAGATCTATGCTTCTTTTGTGTTTTTAGGTGTCTTTTCTTAAAGGTAGAATCTTTATGATCTTTTGGTGTATTCTTGAAGTGGGTGTGGAAGGTGAACCTTGTTAGGAGCTTTGAGAAGTGTTAAGTGAAGGTTTTTGTCTACAAGAGGTAACCCATGCTCTACAAAATCTATTTTCCTTACCTATATGATGATTTATTGGATCCTATATGTGATTTTGCTATGAAATGTGAGTGTGGATGCATTGTCTTGTGAAAATGCATATCTAGAGCTTGTTATTAGGGTTCTTGTATGCCATTGCTTGGCTATTCCTTTGATTCAAGTCATTTTGTTGTATTTGGTGAGATTTGGCATGTTTTGGACTTGAATTTGAGCTTGGTGTTGAAAATCCCCAAAGGGATTATTTGGTACAGGGTTGTGTACTCGCGGGCGGAACAGCGAGCAGAGCTCCTCCCACCGCCCCACCCGCGGGGTACATGGCTGGTGGGAGTAGGTTCCCGCGGGCAGAACCACGAGTAGGGGTCCACCCGTGGCCCCACCCGCGGGTACGTATTATGGTGTTGTTCGGGGATTTGTTCCCCGTGATTCTTTAGACTCGGTATTTGGTCTTTAGACTTCTCGATGTTCTTTTGTGGAACTATTTGAGTGTCTTCTTGATGTTTCGTATGTCTAGAACTATATGGTAGGAATCCATGTAGGTTTTGGTGTCTTGAATCGTGCTAAGTGTTCAACATTGTGATTTGTTGAACCGTTATGAGTCTTGTGTGTTCTTCAGAACTATGTTTGGTTTACCCGTTTGATAAGCATGCTAGTTCGGTGTTTAAATGCTAGCGTGTGTGTTGTTTTTCCTTTCTTATTGTGGATGATGACTTGTGTTAATCATCGTTGGAGTCGGATTGTGATCCTTTCCTTGTTGAGTATGGTTTCATATCTTCGTTGTGATCCGTTGATTGATTCCTATTGTGGTGTGGTGTGTGTGGCTGTACCTGGATTGCACGATTAATGGTATGGGACATGACGCAATTATGGAGTTTGTGACCTGAGTGATGGGTTCACGTATTTCTTGGGTGGCATGTGTTGCCGTGTGTGTGATCGGTACCTCGTGTACTATGAATCGGTGGTCTTGTTGGTGGTTGTTGGTGGGGGACGACGGTCACAGGAGGGAAAAGGTTGGACTTGGATGTACAGGGGTCCTGGAGGTAATGGTTGGAACTGGACATAAGGTTGGGGGTAGCCATAAGGTTGGAACCGGGAATAAGGAAGACATCTCAATTCGTGATGGGTGATGTCACGAAGGCTTGTGTAGCCGTTGTTGTGTATTTCTCTATTTGTGACATGTGTTGTCACAAAGGCATGTGTTGCCAAGGCATGTGTTGCCAATGGTTGTGTCCTTATTCTCTTGTGTTATGCATGTCGGGTGTTAATCTACTGTGTGATGGTAGATTATGCCTTGAGCCGTTCTTGTGAGTCGTTATTACTTCTTGTTGTATGGGGATGTGTTCCCTTATCTTTATTGTGAGTGCAAAGAGTCTTGTGTTTGACTTCTATCTTGGCTTTGAAATTGATATATACTATATCTCGTTTCGCAAATGATTTTGTATATATATAAACTATCTACCTATGATATTTCACATGTATTGGTGGGTTACCAGCATCATTCGCTGACCGGGCGTCGTCCCATATATATATATATATATATATATATATATATATATATATATATATATATATATTTGTGTTCTTTCAGGTGCTGAGTAGATGAGAGCGCGGTCTAGAGGCAGTTAAAGTAGATCCCTTTTCCTTATGATGGTTTGGGCCTGCGTGCCTTTGTTTAGACTCTAGACCTTATGTTGATGACTTTGTTTTTGGATAGTTGGATTATATTGCAGATGTTTACGCTTGTGCATTCACTGTTGAGTGAGCGTGGCATAGCACTCTACGTTTTCTATATATTTCATATCTAGTCTTCCGCTATGTATATTTTATGGTTATTTTATCTGCATGTTTAAGGTTTAAATTCGTATGGAAATCGGGGGTGTTACATACGTTATCTCAAAAGATCACTGGATCTTGGCATTCTGTTATCTACACATAGCTCTTTAAAGTTACATGCCTACTGTGATGCCGATTGGGCTTCATGTCCAACCACACGACGCTCAACTACGGGATATTGCACTTTTCTAGGAACAAGTCCCCTATCTTGGCGTACAAAGAAGCAAACAACGTACAGTATCACGATCCTCTGCTGAAGCTGAATACTGTGCCATGGCCAATGCAGCCAGTGAACTCACTTGGCTTCAATTACTCCTATCAGAATTAGATATACCAGTTCATCATGCACAATTGCATTGTGACAATCAAGCGTCTCTCCACATTGCCAATAACCCCGTCTTTCATGAAAGGACAAAACATGTGGAAATCGACTGCCATTTCTTACGAGAAAAAATCAATAATGGCACACTACGCACTGTTTTTGTTCCATCCAATCAACAACTAGCCGACATATTTACGAAGAGCCTCCTTCTTCAACCGTTCGACGCCATCACTTCCAAGCTCATGTACCACCCTTGAGCTTGAGGGGGAATGTAGAAGAATATTTGCTATATCAATTATGTGTATATTTAGTTATATTATTTCCAAACTATTAGGGGATGTTTGGTTCATGGAAAATGTTTTCCTTTGGAAAACATTTTCCTTAAAGTAGAGGAAAATGTAGTTTTCTTGTGTTTGGTTCATGGAATTCATTTTCCAATGGAAAATGAATTCCTCAAATTTGAGGAAAACAAAATCCTTGGTTGGACCAAGGATTTAGTTTTCCATGGAGAATGGGAAGAAAAGTTGAGATGGAATGCCTATTTTACCCTTACTTTCTTTTTTAATTATATTACTCTTATTAATTTGTAGGGGCATATAGGTTTTTATACTCATTATTCCTTACAATTCCAAATCTAACCAAACAATAGAATTAGTATTCCGAGTAATTCTTTTTCCACCAACCAAACAATGAAATTCATCTTCCTAGTAATTGTTTTTCCATAGAATTCCAATTCCACTTCCCTTAAAATATTTTCCGCAAACCAAACGAGCCCTTAGTATATTCTTTAGGTAAATATCTTTATTGTATTTATTCTTACCTTTTCTATTTATTTTACCGTTAACACCATCATGTATATATGCTATGTACTCCTCAATTCATTGCAAGCAAATATACATACTTAATATATTATTTTCACTCCTCCATGTACTCATGCGTCCATAACAAAGCTTACATATTTTGTTGTAATTTCAAGATATAATGACCACTTTCATTTTTCCACTTGATAGATATTCAAA